ACGAGGTTGTTCTTTAAGCTCTTGATGCCTGTCAAATACCTGAATATTCTCCTGCACCCTCAGCTTGATCCTTAGTCCCAACAGTGCACCTGGGCAACAGCAAGGAAAGCAACATCCTTCGCCCATCCTGGACGAAACATCAGTCAGCAGGAAGAAAGGACAGCAAAGGCCCGTAATCACTTTAAACACAAACAAAATAAAATAAACGTGGCTGGGTTGGCTCAGGTAAAAGCGCTTGTCTGCAGAGCGGGAAGTCGCGGATTCGATTTCCGGATCCGGACCAATACTGAGGGTCTTAAGAAAACTGAGTAAGAAGGTATTGCCTATGGTTTGGAAATAGATAAACCGCTTCACGTGACTAGGATCACCACGTAAAAATGGCAGAGCCGTATCTATTAGGAGACGTGAAAATACTGTCCTCAATGAATACATTCGAGCAAGAAATACTGACGCTTAATAAATAAAGTTGTTATAACTATTATCAACACCACATTAACTCATTTGAGTGCCGCTTAAAGAATACTTACGAGAGCCACAGTCCTCAAAGCAACCACACAGTCCAGTGCTCCAATTCCGTGGTGCCTTTTGAACCACTACTGGTTGCTGATTCAACACTACAGTGGTATTGCTAGTCTGTTGTACGTACGGTGCCGGTTGTTGAGTTACCGCTGGATATTGACCCGGGGAGTACGCCGGTGGATACATCGCTTGCTCTGGGGAATACGGTTGAGCCGTGGGTGGTGCAGTGGGTGGGGGATCCATCATTTAGGCTCTGAAAGGTAAAGTTATTTTAAAACAAACCTCAACGATATAAAAGAAACTTGACGTTTCGATGGCTTCATGTCATCATCAGGGAGTTTAAGCTCGTTCGGAAGTGAGCATTTTTCTCCTCTAATATGCCTTAACGCTACCAAATTTGCATTGCTAAGTGTCTTTACTCCTATAGAGAAGATTCGACCAAAAATTTGTCCAAAATTACGGCTCAAGAGTGCAAAAACTCCACTTCCAGCACAGGTGACCCAGCCCTCTGTGATAGTGGCACAGTACGGTTCCAGTAAAATTACAGTGTTTGTATGGGGTTAAAATACCATCCTAAAATTTCTAGGAAATACTAATTACTGCAAATTATCACAAAACTTCGTTGGAGCAATAAGGACAACAGCAATTAACTGCAGAGAAAATTTCATTGATCTTTATTTAGTACCGTACTGTGCTACTATCACAGAGCCTGGGTTACCTGTGCGTCCGGTTGACGTCCGTGACTCAAAAACGTCGCTGCTTTAAGCTCTTATTATCAAAAGATAAGCAATTAACTTGATTCGTGGAAATATATATAGAAAAAAAAAGTGCGACAAGTGCATGTAAATTAAAATTTAAGCGTGAAAATGGACAAATAAGAATTAAACTAGTTATATAGCTATTTCTAAGTGTCAACGAGCACCGATTTTACCTATTCACCATTTTCACATAAACCATAAGGCACCTTGTTTACGCCCCAAAATTTTGCATAACCATTGTTTCCAATTTCTCCTGGGTATTACAGTCATCCCAAGAGAAATCCAAGACAATGGTTATGCAAAATTTTGGGGGCTAAACAAGGTGCATTATGGTCTATGTGAAAATGGTGAATACGCGTGCTGTTCAGTATAAGAGAAAATTACCAGCTTAAAAATAGTGAAGTAAACTGTTCTACTGCATAAAGAATTTGAAGTCCCGACTTTACATAGGATATTTTTCGAGACGACGTTGGAGTCCAACGTCATTTTGCGACCTTTTTGCCAAACAGGAGGAGATTTCATTTCAAGTAAACAAAAACCAAGACGAGGACATCACATCATACCAATTGGTGTTAATAAAACAAGATCGTGTACTTGTAAATTAATTAAAGTACTTGCTTCTTTGACTAGTGATCTGGAATTTTTTTTTTTACCTTTCGAAAAAAATGGGTCGGTCGGGCGATGTTAGTGGGGGTTCGAGTTATCGGGATTCAACTGTACGTCGGCGCTCTTTAATGGTGGATAGAATGAGGACAGCAGGGGAGCAGCGGGCAAATATTAGCAATAATTAAAAAATGTAAAGCACCGTTATATCGTCGGCGAATTGGAGTCCGAATAAAATAAAAAAAGAAAAAAAGTTGGGGGGGGGAGGCCTTCGTTTCCGGGTCTGCGTTTCGGGTCTTCGTTTTCGCTACAACCATTGATATTGTCAGAAGAAAACTGCTGTTAGTCACTCTTGGGACTTTGAGGGTTAAGGTTGACAAGCTGATTTTGTGACAACCAAACTGAAGGCATCCGTGAAGGTGTTCCTGAAATTTCACTTGAGTGATCATGTGTTTCGATTCAAGCACCCTTGGCATTTGTTATTAGTAATTCCACTGAGTCATAAGGGTTATAGTTTTTGAACGAATAATACCGTGGGCATCTTTTACAGGGTTTTTGTCAAAAATAATAAGGTGAGATCTTAACTTTACATCTCAAAGAGAGTTGGATTATTGATTCCC